TGTGTGTCTGTGTGTGTGTGAAGAATGGAGCTAGAAAGGGTGGAGGAAAGAGGATCAATATTGCCATTAGCCTCTTAAAGTTCTCAGTGAAGATCAAGGCAATCATTTTGCTCTTAAGTCTGTAGTAGGAAACCCAATAAGGCAATTTGTCAGGACGTATAGAGTTTCCGAGCCTTTCAACTATCTCTCATCTAAAGTGAATAAGCCGATTTAAATGAGCATCTGCAAGTCTCTTACCTCATTAAAATGGAGAGACTATTGAAACCAAATCCACACAAATTTTCTTTCCTGCAAACAATGGTTTTCAGACACAAGACCTAAGGGTGAATACTTTTACTGTCATGATATAAAAACAAGATTTTCCTGATTGAATTATTTAAAACAGCAGACATGGACAGATCGCCAGCTGGTGGTTGCTGTTGTCACCAGCCTTTTGTTAACTGTTTGTATTATGTCCCAGCAGTTTTGTCACCTGAACACAGACACAGACGAGGCATCATGTCTTCTAAAGGTAAGCTACACTCCAGCTGAGCTGCTGATTATCCACAAACAGGGATGCATGAAAGAGCCACTTTAACATGACTCCATTTGAGTGACATATTATTTGCAAGGTCACAGCCATTTGTGAGTCAACACCACTAACAGCAATGTGTAAATCATGTACCTGGGTAAAGCAAGCTTTACTTATTAACTGCTTATTTAGAGTATGTATGGTGGGCAGTGATTAACAACAATATAAAGCGTAATGTAGGTCATACAGAGTGCCCCTTGATAGCTTGACAAAAACCAAAAACCAAAAGGAGTCCTGCAGCTTCACAGTTCACAGGCTCACCTTCTCACATTTTAGCGTTGTGCCACAGCTAATCATGTTCTCAAAATCTGAGCTGCTAGTGTTAGCGGTAGTGTCTACATGTGGCTGTTTAGCAATAGGCTGACACTGAAGATAGAGGACTACCAAGAAGATGGAAGACAATGAATGCAGGTGCATCTTTAAAGGGAAATAAACCATGTTGAACTCATGTCCATTCCCTTTCCATCCCCAGGTGCAGACATCGACTATGATGCAGACTTTGTATACGGTAGGTAAATAAACCTCTGAATGAGCATTTGCTTGTTTAAAATAGTTTAAATATTGACCTTCTGCCAGTACTCTAAAAAGAGAGAATGTAGAAAGCATGCACAGGATAAAGGGATTTTCTACCAGCACATGTAGATGTTAGATGGGCAAATAAAGCAGGCATGTGTAGAGAGATAGAGGAACAACATAGGAGAAATAACAGGAACTAGACTGTGGGGAGTAAAAGGGGCATGAGATAATGGAAAAAACAGTAATAGTTGCCATTATGTGACAGTGATGTTGATAATGTCCTCTGTGACTTTGTAGACTACTATACACTACGTGTTGGAGGTCTGGTTTTCGCCGGGGTCATTGTGTTCCTTTCCATCATTCTGTTGGCAGGTAAGTCAACAGCTACATCCTGTTTGTGTGTGTGTGTGTGTACTTCAATGTGTAGTTCAGCTGGAAAGAAAAGTCTGACACAGGAAGTGAAAACAGAGACAGAAGACAAAACACTGTGAAACAGAAGAGCTAAGGTGTGTGAATGGGGTTAAGATTCTATCATACAGTAAACAAACAAAAGTGCCTCTAAAACCATTTTCATTGAGTAAGGAGGGCTGAAATATATCTCTTGCTCCCATCTTACAGCTCTGTTTCTATCATTGTTGTTATCGTGTTGTTAAGTGGCTTTATTTGAAAGAAAAGCACAATAGTTCTGAGCTTTGGGAAGAACTAATCACTCAATCTAATTTTTCTCTAAAGGCAACAAGCTCGCCAACTGTGGCAAATCCAAGGTAAGAGAAATGGTGTCAAACAGCTGAAATAAAATATGGCTTTACAGTGACATCTGCTGGTCATACAATAATATAAAAAAATATAAGGTCAAAGTTTAAACTTGTGAATACCTTCAGTTTAAATTTGACAACTGATATTAACGTTAGATGAAATTAAATGTATTAATAGGACTAATCCCAAGATAAATATGACAACTGCTCTTTTATTGTCTGCAGCCAAGACATGTTGAAGAGGACTAAACTGAGCAGAACAAACCAGGAGAGTGTCAGAATGTGCTACAATGCTGCCTACTGTTATGTGTGTAAAAATGAGGCTTTTGTATTAATAAAGTGTACCTAACCTTGCTGTCATTGTGTTTGTTTATCACTCCTGCTTTGGACCACCTCGATTTTGAATCATTTTGCAAATCAGTACAAATAAGTAATTAAGCTTTGTAGGCCCTCGAGTATTAGTAATATTAAAGAAAACAACTGACTCTTTTTTCCTGTAATATTTTAAAATTTCAGAGAGCTTTATTTTGTCATTGTCTCTGACAATAAAATCACAGTTGGACCTCTAAACAGATGCCAAGAGATAGAGATGAATATATATATATATATATATACACAGAAACTGTTATAAAATAAGAACGCAAAAACATAAAAATATACAATATATAACAACAATATCATAATAAAAGTACCAAAATGTATCTTAAAATATATTACAATATAAAGGTTCCCACTAGACAATGTACAGTAACAGATTTAACAAGAGAGACACTGACTATTTGAAAAGTTATAGATATCACAATATTAATACCAATCAGAAGTCCCTAATCACCTGATTATACCTCTGACAGAAAAAGGTTAAAACAAGCGCTCCTGGCTGGAAAGGACACGTCCCCCTCAGGTGCAACCTCTCCACCCAATGAGAGCCAGGTTTACTCCTTCCGTTTGCTCTTTTCAGCCACGTGCTGTGTGCATTCTGTCAATGGACTTCCTCATGTAATATTGTAGTCACTTTAATTACCACACACAGTTCCAGGTAAGATATTTTATCTGTATGTCATTCTCTGTCTGCAGAGCTTTAACCAAACGCACAAACCAAAACACAGCCTCGACTGTAACACACACTTCAGCCCAATGTAGATTATAGGCCGATGGTCCATAGTGTAGTAAAAGTGTGGTAATATAACAACACATTATATATATATTTATATATTATATATCTTATATATATATAAAAATATTACCCCTTATGTGCATCATTGCTTATACTTTAATAAAGCTTTCCAGTGAAGTGTATAGTATCCATTTCAGATGGTACACTTTACATGGTGGCAAACTTGTTTCCAAACTTTCCAATAAAACGTTACCTTTACTAACTTCCCAAAAACAAAACAAAAAACACACTAAACAAAACATGCGCGTCCATCTAGTTCCTTAGATTTGTGGTAACATAAACGATCACAAGGTGGCGTCATAAGACCAGCATGACGACAAGAAGAACAACCGTCCCTCGACAGACGGAGAAGTGAAATCTGCTGACTGCGAGATGGGGGAGTCAGATGACCCCAAATACTGTGGGAAAGAATAAGTAGGTAAAAAATAAGCTTTAATAATCAAAACGTTTTGATGGATGGTCACGGATACTATCACGAGTTATACATTAGAGAATTAAGAATTGTTAATGCTGCAGAATAAATGAGAGAAAATAAAGGCATTATAAAAAGGCAGCACTCTCAGTGTCCCAACCGTTGACATTGTGGTCTCAGCATGAAAAAAACCCCAAAAAGTTGGTGTTGCCTTGACTGTTTTTGAAGGCCGACATAAGCCACTAAGTTACTTTCCCTGCTCATCAGTACTTTAACCAGGACGTCCTCGTTTCGCCGTTACCACAGAGCCAGCTGCAGCCGAGCAGTGGCAGCACACTACTGTATTTCCACCGCTGCAGCAGAGATG